CAGCTGGTGACAGGAAGTGGGTGATCCCTCAGTAAAACTTTTATCAACTTCCAGGTAAGCAATAAAGGCAACGACCAACGGAGTCACAAATACTGTTGACTGATATACAGCGGTGGGTTACCCAGGCAACCTCAGCCTGTAATGTCTGATAGCGACCAACTGTCAGTGATAAAGTGATGCTGATGATCGCTTCCTGTGTGGACACTCATTAGGACCTCTGTGATGTTTCGCTCTGTGAGGTCTCCCAGATGGAGCAGTACTTTGTGGTCAACATGATTCTGACTTCCTCGTCTTTATTTTTGTGGAAACCAGTGAAACTCAAAGAAAGGATGAACTCACGGTGGCCAGAGGCAGCAGGGTGGCTCGATGCTTTGCCGGGATGAACTCGGTCTTCAGCACAAACCTGAACAGAGACACTATCAATTAGAGCAGCCACTGAAGCTTACCACCATCCAGCCAATCAGACTGCAGGATGTTCAGCGTAATGTTTCTGTGTGTGAGCTGACCCCTGCGACACTCCTGCAACGCCGCAGCCCACCATGGCACGCAGGAAGATGAACCAACCGTACGACGGTGCGAATGACGTGAGCAGCGAGAAGTACGCACTCCACACGAAGCCACCGAACACGACCTGGATCACACACACACACACACCAGCAGTCAACCAATCAGTGCACAGACTCCAGCTGAGACCTTGCGTGTCGGTTGTTTCTGACCTTCCAGCGTCCGTATCGGTCGGCGATGTATCCTCCCAACACTCCACAAACCATGAAGCCCAGAAAAACCATCTGAGGACACAGAGAGAAGTGTTGCAGCACTTTCATATAGCCATCACGTTAATGAGCTCACACGCCTCTGATGTAATGAACCAAGAAGCTGCTCTGCTGACTGTGAACGTGATCGATCAGTGAGACCTGTTCAGAGCTGCTGACCATATAAAGTCAAGCCATGCTAAAGAAAGCCCCACTGAGGTCAGGGTTACCCTCTGAGAGTTCAGAGGTTTCAGCCTAACTGGTTGACGCAAATTAATTGATTGATCAATAAATTATCAGCAGATCAGTCTGTGTGCTGTGACTCACAGTGGAGACGAGTGCCACCTGCCAGTCATCCAGACGCCACTCACATCGAATCTCTGGAGAAACCACAGCTAACAACATGATCTCCATCGCCTCCACGATCTGCGCACAAACACGAGCACAACAGTGAGCACCCTGATTACTTTAAATACTCTGAGTATTTTGCTGCTGAGCATAAACATTACTCACGTTGGAGCTGCCCATGATGACAAACAGCAGAATGTGAAAACGCCCGAAGCCGATTTTCTCCACGGCATCCTCCACTGTAAACGTTTTATCTGCTGCAAGAATCAATCAATACATCAACTAACATCACCACCTTCCTCTTGCTCAGAATGGCTGTGACAGACACCTTTAATTTCATAATGAGGGAAATGAGGTGGTGAGAACTAGTTCTTCTGTGGTGGACTGATATGATCCTAAAACAGTTGAGCTTTAACCTCCTTGCAGAGGACTTGAGTCCCAGCATGCTCCTGATCAGGACCGCCTGATCCTGGTTCTGTTGGAGGTTTCTTCCTGTTCAAAGGAAATTCTTTGAACAGGAATTCGAGTTATTACCTTTCAGAATAAAGCATCGCACTTCTGCTGTTAAGTGCTTTAGGAATAAAACTGGACTGAAATAAAGTACAAAGAAGGTCTCTGTAGTGAAACTGACTGTTAAAACCTGCCCATGGCAGAAACCTACTGTGCTTCTCCTGATGTTTTTGCAGTTTCTGCAGACAGGTTCATTCACAATAACATCACAACCTTTTTAGGAAACGTTTCAAAGGGCCTCACAGGACCCTCCAATGTTTCCAAGGGCATCACATCATCTCCAGATGTTTGATTATCGATTATCAGACTCACCATTGTTGCTATTGTTGCTGTCCTGCTTGTCGTCGGCAGGTTTCTCCTGCAGTTCCACCTCCTGCAGATGGATGGAGCTCACCAGCTGAGTCTTCATAGAGTCACTCATCCTGAAATGAGAAGTCTTCCTTTCAGCCGTCTGAGGTTCAACCGTCTGCAGATACATGAGCCAGAACATTTGTGAGCAGAGTTTCAGCTTCATGCAGCTCTGCTGATTTTAATCCGGTTATTAGTAAACTGAGTCTTCATTTCATCGTTTATATTAAAATCATATCTGTGGCAATGTTGCAGGCTTCTTCAAACATTCACTCACGCTTAATTCAGTTCAGTTCATTCAATTCAGTTTTATTTATACAGTGCAAAATCAAATACAGTGAAAGACAGGACAAAAGACATGCTGTGGAAGAGAGTCAGAGAGCTCTATTAACACATAGTGAGCGAGAAAGGTGACTGAAGAAGAAAAACTCAATGCATCAGGGAATCCACCAGCAGCCTACACCTATTGCAGTATAACTAACTATCCCTAACTATATGCTTTAGCAGAAAGGAATGTTTGAAGCCTAATTTTGCAAGTAGAGATAGTGTCTGTCTCCTGAATCCAAACAGGGAGGTGGTTCCACAGAAGAGGGGCCTGAAAACTGAAGGCTCTGCCTCATTCTAGTTTTAAATACTCTAGGAACAACAACTAAGCTTAATCCACAACTGTTTGGTTTTACCTTTCAGCGGGTCTACAGTCTACAGAGTAGAAAAACCGATGTTCATCCAATGACTTCAGGGTGGCGTTACAAACACCGCTGAGTCCTTCAAAAGTAAAAGTCCCAAAGTACTACTGATCACCTTCTCCATCAAACTGATCTATTGACTGATTAATCGCCTCCAGAAAAAGATGAGATTGAGCAGACTGATCAGTGAGCTTCTGCCAATCAGAGTTTCAAATGAGCAGTTGATTTATGGATTTGAAACCAGTTATTAGTAAACAAAAAGAACATATTATTGTCAGGCTTACTTTATTACATTCTCTGAAGCTTTTAAAAAAAAATCATTTTGCTCTCACAAACACAGATTGTGCTTTATTCACAAGGGAGGTGTGTTAGTTTCTCTGTGAAGCTGAGGTGGAGGAAACTGAAGGTGTTGTAACGAAGTGATTTCCAATGTTTCAATGTTTGTTTGTTTTTTATGTGTAATGTCTTTACTTATATTGGTAAACAGACTGTAGAGAACATGATTTAGAGATGAATTATATATTAAGTTATGTTGTAAGTATGAACCTGTGTTGTTGTACCTGCTTTATAACCAATCCAGTCCTTTTTGGCCACTTAAAATATCTTTATTGAATTACTTTGTTATATCTGCTGCCATCTTAACCAAGTGTCTCTTGAAAAAACACACTTTTAATGTCAAAGAGACTTATTAGCTGGATAAAACAAGAGTGTTGTTGGTGGCTCAAGACAACCTGAGATCATTTGAGGGACATATTTGACATATGTTTCATATATCATAGGCCAAAAATCATTTACACCAATACAAGCAGTCTTTTTTTGGCAAATAACATTGCTGCAGATTTCAGGCAGACAATGAGTTTTTTGAACTACACGTAAGAAATCCTCAAACCTTAAAGAAACAAGCATACAAACTCTGGATGAGGAGATATTTTAACAGATGTGTTAATCCTTCTTTAATGAACTGGACGGAATCGTTTTGAGCCCAGTCAAAGGTAAATGGTCCGGGAAGAACCGGCGCGATTAAAACTGAGTGCGGGATTTATTATGACTACAGCCACTTCAGCTTCACCTCTCACACAGGAACCAACAGCGGAATCGAACCCTTAACGTTCTCTCTCAAATAAAACCAGTACTCACACAGATGTTGAGTTTCAACGCTGAGGCCGCCGGTGAGGTCTATTTTCATCCTGTAGCAGGTCACAGCCCGACAGGTAGGTCAACACCGTAGCTGTTCACCTGTCCAGGTGATTCAGGAAGTGCTGTCGTCACCAGAGAGCCAGCCCGGGGGGAGGGGTAGGGAGCTTTGTGTGCAGGGAGTGGTTCAGTTCCGCCCATCAGCAGCTGAGTGAAAAAAACAAAACAAGAGCCTCTCCACAACATTTAACGTCACAATGAGAGACAGGAAGTCAGCAAATGAAACAATATGGTGAAAAAAAAAGATCAATAATTTAATCTCTGAGCAGTTCGACCTAATAGATCTCAACCCATCACACATTCCTCTGGAATATTTTCACTTTATGAAAGTTAGAGCACAAATATTTAAACTTTAGTCCTGAAGCTCCACCTGCTGGCACTGACAGTAATTACAGACAGATCCCTGCAGTTCCTCTGAGGTCCAGCAGTGGCAGCAGTGAGTCAGTGCCCGTAAACTCCCATGTTAAAACTTTGCAGCAGACATGCAAACATGCTTAAAACCTGATACACAATCTCATCATGTCTTTATAGATAATTTCCTCCTTTTTAACAACTCCAAGGGGGAGGATGGTTCCTAAACTCACCTGTATAAATCAGGGGGCGTGGCCTCTTTGACTGGCAAGTGGATGATCACACAGGCTGGTGTAGTTGTTAGCTGTCTGCTAACTGGACCGCTGGACTGTGTTTGTGCTGTTGGAGCCTTTTGGAGCATTTTTAATGGCGTCATGTGACTACTGTGAGGTTACTGTATTAGCAGACCATCCAGGAAGGATGTGTGTGTGTGAGTGAGAGAAAGAGACACTCCCGTACAGTCTGTGGATGCAGGCGATAGCTCGCTATCCCTGCTGACACCAGATTTAAAATGTAAATAATGTTAATGAGGATTTGTGTGCTTATGACTTTATTCTTAACAAATTGTTCCTAAACTTCAGATCTTTCTAGAAATGAGCTGTTTGTTTAGATTACAGTATTGCTATTAAACTTGGTGACTCTGTCCCATGAGTCAGTGTCATTGTGCCAGAAATGGGCCTCCATATGCAGAGCTGTGTGGTCTTGGAATGAGGCGTTGGCCGATTGGAGGGATCAGACAGATTAGATGCAGTGCAGCGCATCAGAGGAAAACTGAATCATCAAAGAATGAAGAAAAAGCCGTCAGCTTCTCTGAATCTGAACATGTCTCTTTAATGTTTTGAACACAGTCTGTCAGACTTGAAACACCACAGGGTGCAGCTCACACAGAGGCAGGGTAGAACAGATCCTATCAATGTGACCCGCACAGGTTAGCGGCACACTCATCTGGCCACTGTGGAACAGGTGAGGCTGCTGGCAGTGTTCCCAGCTCACTGACTCGACATTAAAAGAACTCCCCCAGGCTCTGTTTCCATGAAGCAGCATCACCAAGTTACCTGAACCACACCTGGGGCCTGCTCTCACCTGGTGTAAGTGTGTAAATCGGCGAGGCGGTGCGTGGAAACGGAGCCTGAAGAGGAACAACAGGAATGTGGTTCGACTCGGAGCAGCCGTACAGAAGTTCATTCATGACAAAACTACTGACAGAGGGGAAATCTGAAACCCTGGCGAAAGCAAAGCTCTCTGCAGGTCAAAGGTCAACACCTGAAAACAGTTTCAATTGCTGGTGCAGATACAGCTACTGATTTTGGCAGGGGAAAGCTTGTCCAAGCTCTTATTTTAGTGGGCAGTTTGAGATAACAGGAAAAGCTGGAATAGTAGCTAAAACATAGAATCGGTTTAAAATTTTGAAACAAATAATTATCAGATCCTTTAAACTCTGTTCAAAAACAACAGAACAAAGTTGAAACTGATAAGTTTTAAAGATGTGCCAATGCAGCAGCAGGTTTGTTTTAAAAGCTTCTGAAGGAGATCCACCGACAGCTGCAGTCTGCGCAAGATCTGTTTGTCAAATGATCTGTCTCAAAGATCTGTTTTCAAAGTTCTCCCCACTAAAGCTAATGATCAGCTGACCACATGCTTCCTGTGCCGTGACTCCATCACCTCCACCTGCAGCTGCTGATCTGCTCTGCAGCAGTTTTTGCAGTTTTGTGGTGGCCCACCAGAGGGCTCCACTCACACCAAGGTCGGGAGGAGAGGTTCTGCTGGTTTTTGGCACAATGTGGTCAGTTGTTGTGTGGAGATGAATAAAGTCGGAATGGAAAGTTACAGCTCCTGTCTCGTCTGTACAATACCTCCACAGTTTCATATTTTTTGTCCACGAAAGCAACTGGGCCGGCTCGGCCTGTAGGGAGGGGAGCAACCGTGATCCCCGCAAACTTCAGCAGGTCTCAGAGTGCTGATCAGTAGTTTTGTCATGAAAAATCATCCTCTGAGTGTCTGCTCATCTGCTGGACTCTTACTGAGGATCACAGGTCTAGAAAACAGAGTCTCTGGAAAACAGAAACATTCAGGAGAAGTTTATGAAGAGTTTGCTGAGAAGTCAGACTTTTCTTTGCTATTCGGACACCTGCAGGATTATTTTCCATTTTTGGGGTGATCTGATCGTTTCAGACACCTTGAGTCATTGAATTAGCACCATTTGATCCTGTAGGCATTGCTGAGTCCTACAGCGTGACTGACAGGTGCTAGGTCCAATCAGATCGTCTGTAGCAGGTAAAGAGTTCTGCGGTTGGTTTCTGGTTCATGACGAATGTGTTGTGTCTTTGAGTCTGTTCAGCAGAACAATCACAGATAAAATCTTTTCCGTATATAATAGGTTTCTATTCAACATCATATCCACTCCATCCATAAGCATCTTCATTCAGACTCAAAAATCTCCTAAAAAACAAAAACATGATGGTTCTCATGGTGTGTTTTTTCCGGCTGTGCTTGGATGAACGGTGCTTTCATGGCACTGTGACATGAATCACTCTTTGCTCACTCTTAACTGGATGTGGAACGATTCTTCACTTTTTTTACATCTTTTGGCAGCATGCTAAACATTAACTGCAACACCACAAATAGCTAAAGCCTCAAACTTAGTTGAACATGCTGAAGAAGAGCAGAGAGCAGATGCAAACAAACCTTCACCATGAGTGACCGACCACCAACACACCACAGAGAGGACAGCCAATCAGCAAAGAGAGGAACCAGCCGCTCAGCTATGCAACCAGGACATGAAACTAAAGGTTGAAACAATAGATGCAGAGACAATATCAGGAGGTCCACATGGAGAGACATTTCTCTGGATCTACAATCATGTCTGCAAAGCGGTCTTCTACAAGCTTCCAGAACATTCTGCAGACTTCACTCACTGGACAAGGTCAATAATAAAAATAAAAATATTCAATAGTATAAAAGGTCAGTAATGACAAACCTTATTTTTCTCCCCTGATGAAACGGTGCGAACCTTTTAGGGGAGTGTGAGGATTCAGCCACAGGCTGAAACAACGAAAAGTTATTTATGCTCTTAATCGCCCGATAGAGCTGCAGGTTAAACATTAACACCTTTACCTGCAATGTCCTGGCATGAAGTCTGTAGTTCATGTGAGAACAATGAAGCTAACATAATGGGAAATTTCCTGGGCAGATCCCTCACCTGAACCACACAGTGTACTCAGAGTATCACTGAAGAGTACAGCTGAAATGAGCACTTCCTGACGTGTTCTACATGTGAGACAAAAGATCAGCCTGGAGTCCTGGACATATAAACCTTATCACTATTTGCTTTTCCCTTCATCAGGATCATCAGGCAGCTCTGACGAGACATCTCTCAGTGAGTTTATGAAGCAGCTCTCGTCTGAGGAAGAACCACCTTGCGGCGGTGATGAACGACTAGTTCCCCTCTCTCACAAACACTTTTTACCCACTTGTCTACAGCGCTCTGCTCACAGACTGATGGATGCAACAAATCAGCGACAAAAAGCTTGATACCAAAGCAATGCATTAGCTGAATTTTTTTTCATTGCCACCGATACATGAACACGCGAGCGAGCGAGCGGCTACGCTAAGCAACGTTTCCACAGAGAAACAAATGTTAGCTCAAAATCTACAGCGAGCTTAAACACAAGAGGATTACAACCATAGAACAGTAGTTTGGTCTTTTTTTTGATCAAAATAAAGCATTTAAAGTATACTTTCATATATAAGCAATAAAAAATAAGTAACATCTCAATACTCCAGTAATAACTCTTACATTAATATTGTGCTCATTGGGATTCTATCTCTTTACATATATTTATTCATTCTTATAGATAGCTATAAATATTATTTTTCTTGTTTTGCATCCCCGTGCAGCAGGAACTGTGCGGCACCTCCAGCTGTCGACAGTGCAAAGACCTCATTGATATGGTTTATGAACAGACACCTGACCACCGTGGCTGATGGGAGTGTGGAAGGCAATTAGTGGTTAATGACAAGATGGTATGAGGCTGACAGTTAGCACCACAGAAGGTCCAGAGAATCAATCCACTTCAGAACTTTAGGAGGAATTGGTCCAGAGGGAAATATCCACTCAACAGGTCAAGAATAACCATCTACCCCAATAGGATGAACCACCAGAAGGCCATTAAGGACAGCACTTCGCAGAGGTTCCATCGGATAGATTCCCTGGAGATCCATTCACTCTAGAACTCCAGGAACGATCACGAAGTTCTGAAAGACTAGAAGAAGGAAGTTCTTCTCCAAAGGTTGGTTGCACTAACTTAAGAAGGTATTCATAACCTGATGTTCTAAGTCAGGCCTGAGAAGTATTGGTAGTTGCACCATTCAGCCTTAAGTCTTCTTGCAAATCTTGGCATGTTCTTCAAACCAGAAAATGAAATTGTTGAGAACTATACACTCTTTTAGCGGACTGATTTGAAACAAGATAAGCTACCTGACCTAGTACATTCATCAACACTGAGAAAACTCGAGCTCCCGGAGAAAACTTCACCAGCACAACAAAAACATACAACCACTGCATAGCAGATCCGACCCAAGCTCAAAACCAGGACCCTCTGAGGCACGGAGCCACTGTGCATTTGTTTCTATGAGCAATAAATTAATTTTACAACAAGCAAGCTAGACAGACTGTTACAGATACAACAACGAGGAGTTGACTCTCTTGATCTGTTTGAACTGACTGGAGAGCCTTAAAGTTTGAGTTGGTTCATGACCGAGCATTTAGTGGTGCTGCACTTTATCACACTTGTGCTTCATGAGCATCAACAATTACATGACCATATCCTTGTTTTACCCAGGAGGTCTTCTGTCTATGCCCGGTCAATAAAATGACTTATTTAGGTCCTAATGCCATGCTTCTCATGTTCTATCACGTTAGACTGCTTGGCGATCAGTGTGTCCTTGAGATAACTAATGATGTTTCAATTTTCTTATTTGTAGTAAAAAAAATTAAATTTACTTTCATCTAAATTAAAAAAGCTGTTTTTAGCTGCTCTCTTACCATAGGGGGTCACAACAGCTGTACAAGTTTGATGTGGTAGAGGTTTACAATGAAGGCCCTTCCTCAAGCAACTAGAATTAAACCAGTGACCTTTTATTTCCCAAGTAAATGTGTTAACCACTAAAACACCAAAAGTAAACAGTTAGCAAGAATGCTTGCTGTTACGCAACACCCATCTTCATGTGCATGTTCGAGTGAACGAGCTTGCTACCACCGGGCATAGTTAAGGCTGGCTGGTGCAGTCAACATAAAGTTCACTCTAGACTGGTCTCAAATACTGATCTTGCAGTTAGAACTGGGTTTAATAAAAGCAGCTGCTCCAACAGTCCCCCAATATTAGGCTGGACCAAACCCCTCAAAACCCTCAAGAACTCCAGGAGGCCAGAATGAACTCTCCAATGACTAAACTCCAGAAGACCAAGAGGCCAATAGTGTTGAAGACCATCAAGGACCATCTACTCCACAAGTTCAGGAATGAATTGCTGCTCCAGATGTCTAAAAAGTAACGACTGAATCAAGAGGTTCAGGAAGGATGATCATTAATGATGCTCTTTAGGAAGCACTTCAGTGGAAAATACAAGTCAAACTCATGTCTAATGAAACAGAGCTGAGAGTGACGGACAGACAGTTCAGGACCCTGTAAAGTACCGGAGGTCTCCAGGAGAGACGTCCAAGTTTTCAGACATGGATTGTGGTCCAGACTTGTTTTGGATTTACCGGCACAGACGTACACTAGCTCAACAGAGCCCAGAGTGTAAATTGGTTAGTTTCATGGTTTCCCTTAGACCTTTCAGGTTCTATGTGGTTTAAAACTTTCAAAACCAGCTGAGTCCTGATCCAAAGAGGTCCAAACCAGTTTACGGGTAGCTGGTCACTGCCGCCTGTTTCTGTGCGAGACGTCGCAGCTCCTCCCTGATGGCCTTTATAAGAGAGGCGGAGGTGTGGGCGGATGGTGATGCATCCTCAGGCGGATATTCTGGAGTAGGTGAGGTCAGGAGGAGAGGTGGAGCTGACGGGTCCCGCAATGAGGAGCTGGGCATCTGGAAAACAGAGGAAGAGGAGAACTCAGGAAAGGACATCACCTGTGAAAAGAAAGGAGAAAGGGTGAGACATTTCAGCTCCACCTGTGCACCACCAAGCTATTTTCTTTACTGATTTCACCACTCACGCTCTCTCTGCTGGCTCCCGGCCTGGAAAGGTCCTGGTCTGAATGCTGCTGATTCCAGCTAGAGCCAGTGGGGCCCGACATGCTGCGACCCACCCCAGGGTATGCACCAATCTGACTGGACAGACCCACCTGGGTCAGGTGATGGAGCTGTGCACCTGGAGGTCAGTGAAACCAGTCAGCAGATACAACATTAGTAAATCATCAGCCTGTGTGGAAACAAACTGAATACAGACAAAGTCATGTGAGGTTTGTTACCTTTGGCTTTATTGTCAGAGTCATGAGAAAAAAATGCCTCGTCCCACATTAACTAACCTAATCTACAGTCTCTGGGTATTCACACACAATATGATTCTTTTCAGAAATCTTGAGAGAATGATAATTCTTTCTTTCCTAAACTGTTAGAAATGCTGTATATTTGTTGTAGTGTATGGCACCACCAGAGGGCAGCCTCTACCGCATGACCAGTCAGCTGAATTATGCGTTACCTCTGCACATTTTGACTGTTTGAGACAAGTTCAGGATCTAAAACACGTCAGAAAGTGAAAATAAGAGGAGAATATTTTAGACTCAGATTTGATTCATTCATTTTACTTTAATCTGTATATTTCATGGCATAAAGTTACAGAACTGAATGTATTTATTGACTCACTGAGGCCATCCTCAGTGCTGTCGCTGCCCAGCAGGGGGCCGGTCATGTATATAGCTGCGGTGACTTCTATGAACCCCCCATCATGAAAAGTAGATACCTGCTGTCAGGTCATATAAACTGAACGCACGGTGAGCTGTTATTTGTTGATGGCTGTGACTGTACCTGTGCTCCCTCCTACAGGTCGAGGTCTAGAGGAGGAGGGTGGGTCCTCATACTGCCCCCTGTTGGAGTAAATGGACTCCTGCAGCTGATCTCCAGTAGACACATACCCTCCTGAGCTCAGCCCCTGCCTGTAGAAACACACAGAGAATGAGCTCTGGTTCTGACCTAGTACTCAGACTGGACCAAGTCTTCTGTATTCTGATACTAACCTCTGCAGGAGGCCCTGGACTGAGGTGGGGGACATCCCCAGCTCTGCATATCTCTGCAGGAAGAAGAGAAAGAAGAGAATTAAACCAGAGCACGAGTTCCTGACAGAAGTATCTGCTTCATCTGCAGGTCCACACACTCACTGCAGAGAAGGGGCTGTGAGGGGGGGCTGCTGGGTAAGAGCCCCACTGCTGGTTTGGGGGCCAGCTCTGAGGGGAGGGGCTGGGCAGGGCAGAGCTTACCCCGGCGCTGCCCTGCGAGGACGGCGACACCAGGGCGAAGGCGTCATCCAGAAGAGAGTGCATCTGCTGCCGGGCCTCTTCAATGGAGGGCTGGGGGGGCATGTAGGGTGGCGGGGCCGGGGCAGGGTCAAAGACCTCGTCAGTGGGGGAGGGGCTGCCGTGGTCCGGGGGCAGGTCGGGGTCCGACTGTAGGAAATGAAGTAGAACATCAAGTCAGCGCTCTGCTGTCTTACAAAAAAAGTCCACAGGGCTCAAAAAGACTTCCTGTGTCACTCAGAGTTCAGTAACAGTGTACAGCTCTGTCCACGTCATGCTGACGACACCATCAGTAACAGATCAGATCAGCCGTGTACCTCCAAACACTCAAACATTATGTGTGTCTGTGAATGCTTAGAACAGGCAACATATCCAGCTCACACCTACCTTGCTTATTTGATGGTTAAATTTTGTTTGCCTCACCATGTAGGCCACGTTGTTGAGTCCGGGGTATTTCCTGTAGGTGGCGCTCTGATCGGTGAGCAGCCGGTCTCTGTCTGTGTCAGGAAGACTTCCAGGTCCTGGCTGAGCCCGCCGACTCCTAGGAGAGCGCCTCCCTCTGGCAAAAAAACACAAGAGTTTACAGTCAGGCTGGAAACAGATGGGACAATAATGAGCTTAGCTTTGGTGCTAACAGGGATGCGGTTGGTATGTCTTAAATATGATTTCTCTAGAGTTTGAGGTCTCCTGCAGGGCCTCCTCCCAACTGGGCATGTCTGGAGGTGCTCAGGAGGCACTGATCAGACTGAGAAGGAGCACGGCTCGATTCTGAGCTCCTCCTGTGTCAGGTTGAAACGGACATCTTCGAGCTAAGCTCTCTTTCTTAACCTCACAGCAGCAGTACGGTACAACTCCTGCATGGAGCACCAATCCACCAGTCCATCTCAAGCTCCACCTTCCCCTTTGTCCGCGAGCCCAAAGAGAAAAATCAGCTATTGTCCACACAGCCTCCAAGACCTGCATCATTTGCAAAGAGCAGGGATAAAATGCTAAGATTCCCAAAATGCACACCTTCTTCACCCTGGCTACCCTTTGAGGTCATGTTCATGAATATTACCTACAGGATCAAAGACATGCACCAACCCTGAAGGACTGACAAGAGTATTGACTATGTGTCCTTCTGAGGACATCAGTCCCATTCATCTGGATGTAGTGTTTTCAGTGAGAGAAACATTTCATCATCATCCACTTCTTCTGTCTTTGCTGCCTGCAGGTTCCCCCAACCTTATAAACTGTACAATCAATTAAATCAGTGCTGCAAGTTTTGGTCATTATGCAAATGTAATGCTATGTCCAGATGAACAGAATCAACTTTCTGGGATTTCCTTACCTGTGTGACTGAGCATGCGTCAAGGAAGTCTGAGAACACGTTTGTCTTTGAGGGAACTGAGTCAGCTTTCGCTTTAGTCACACAGAAGCAGCTGTTCATGGAGAATGAAATATTCTTTTTTCACCTCAGGTAGGGTCTGACCTTTTCCTGGAGTCGGTGGGAGTTGGGGGTGAGGCAGCATCGGCCTGCAGGATGCAGTCCATGTGGTCGTGGGCAGAGCTGTAGAGTCGCTGTGCCGCCTCACTCTGAACTGGACCATCTCCAAATGCGTCCATGATGTCATCCATGGAGGGAAACTCGCACTGGCCCCGCCTCTTAGCACGCTGTCGCAGTTTGTTCCGGTGATGCTCGATCTCTGACTTGTGCCGCAGCGCCACCTGCAGGAACAGAGACGGTTGACTACAGTTAATGATGATGACCTCATGGCAAGCTGTGACTGGATGTATTTTTGTTGTCAACTCACCTCTGTGTTGACCTTTTCAGTGAGGGAGGGGCTTGGCTGTGATGGGGCATGTGGCTGCGGTGGGCTCGGACGTGGCTGCATGGCGATGAGCTGCACCTTGTTGGCCTGACGACGGGTGCCGTCAGATGACCCGCGGGACAGGCGGTCCACATGGTCAAAGATGGAGGACGAGGACAGCAGTTCGTCCGGGCCGCTGCCTGATGGAGCACCTGTGGAAGGAGAGGTCAGAGGACAGAAAAAAGTGAAAGGAGACTTAAAGACCAACAGAGAAGTGAAAGCTCAGACTCCCAGAATGCATTTCACCAGTGACCATCTACTGAAAGCTTGCAGAGCGAGTAGGTCAGTCCCATAGACATCCATGTTAAAGCTTTACAGCAGAAATAAACGTGTTTATGTGTGCAGAGCTGCAGTTACTGCAGAAGGATAAAAAATGACAAGCAACCAACAAGGAGATGAAGATGGCGATGATAAGGATAATGATGAAAAAGTGGGAGAAAAAAACTTTTTCCCAGAATAAGCAGCAGAAGAAACAAAGAGAGAATGAGGGAAATCCCTCAGACAGACCAAGACCCCGAGCACAGAGGTCAGAGGTCACATGCAGAGGACATCCAGGAGGCTGACAGAGGGGCAGCGATGCTTCAGCCACAACTGCGGTCAGATCTTCAGCATTATTCAGGGTTGTGTTTGTTACTGTCAGAGAAATTATTTTACCAGAAATAACCTTCAAACTATAGAGAAGTCTGAATATAAACATTTAGACAACAAGCATGTATATTCCAAGTGTACAAGAATAAGAAAAAAGAGAAGTTAATAAAGTAAGAGTGGAAAGTAAAATTCGCTCCATCATTTAGTGATGATCAGTATTCAGATTTAGCTTACTGCTGATGACTCGCCTCATAAACCAGGACCTGTTCTTCCCTTTATGAGTTAAGGTATTGTTGTCGCTGGTACTGTGATTACTGGAGACGGATCGATTTGACACAGTCACAGATTAATTATTATTATTGTTTAATCTGTGAATTTAAAGGTTGAGCTCTTGGAGACATAATTAGATCTGTCTCTGCAGCATCGCAATGCTTCACGTGTTGATAGGAAATGTGGATTGGAGATCGGTGTGTGAGAAGGTGGTAATGTGTTGGCATAGTAACGTACCCATTTTGCTCCTCCCTTCAAGTAGGCAGTGCATTAAACAGAAAAGACAAAGTTTGAACAGAGCAGAGCCTCCATCCTTTGTTTACAGCCTATTCATTACAAATACTAAAGCTGATTATGTCACTGTGGCTCTCACCATTTTTGGGTGTCTTCCTGTGCTGTTTCCCCTCGCTGGGTGTGGCCACAGGTCGGGTGCTTTCTTCTGCTGACTCCCTGCCGCTCGATTGGTCGCTTCCTAACGAGTCGCCGTCTGATGGGCTGAGCCTGACAATGGACACAACAGGTAAATGGTAAATGGCATGCATTTGTATAGCGCTTTTCTAGTCCCTAAGGACCCCAAAGCGCTTCACACTACATTCAGTCATTCACCCATTCACACACTGGCGATGGCAAGCTACATTGTAGCCACAGCTGCCGGATTAAGTAAAATTTTGAGATACTTCAGTAAAAATGTTCGATGTCGACGATTTCTCTGAATGAAAAATAATCATGTCAACGAGCCAGTGAAGTTCATATTCTATATTTTTTAACAAGTTTGTTTAATAAGTCACAACATATTTCTAACCTCCCCCTGCGGCGGCTCGGCCGCGACACCTTGGTGGATGATCCTTTGGATTTGGGGGTGTTGAGGTCTCCGCCATCGGAGGGCGTGGCTTCCTTTACTGGTGCAGGAAGTGGACCGGACTCCTGGATCACCATGATGTCATCCTTACTGTGTTGACCCAGGTGAAGCTTTGCAAAGTCGAAGCCTTTAACGCTGGGAGCCTGAAGCTGACAGAGGATATGGATCAGGGGTCAGTAAGGTAACAAAAACATCATGTTGGTGGCTAAAATCAGAAGATTGCAAACACAGAGGACAGAAAAACACCAGGTGTCATCGCCTGTTAATTTTAAAGTGCAAGTCCTTTTTGTTGACCTCTGACCTTTTGCCTCTGCTGGATGGTGTTAATGGCGTCCGGCTGGAACTCAAGCTTCTCGGAACCGCAGAGCTTCCAGTACAGGATGATGATGATGAAGACGGCCAGTACAACTGGGACAACAACACCGACAATCAGCCAGATGCTGCTGCTCTGAGTCTCAGCTGGAGGGACAGAGATCGTCTCCACAGCTGGAAACAGAATCAAAAAGATCAAACTTTATCAATATGACACTTTCTGAACCAATCAGAAGCAGTTTGGACACACTCAGCATTGGACTCACGTTGGGCCAGCGGTCTCTGCACACGGTGTCCAAGGACAATGGCGGCCCTTTGAAGGTCCACACGGTTCAGAGTGGCGGCGGTCACCTCAGCAGGGACCCTCTCTCCACTGGGACCCTCCACAAAGTAAAAGACCTCCAGAGGGCGCTCTGCCCCTGACAGCCTGGAGACCCGCACCACCTGAGACACAACCGGTTCAGTGCACATTCACATTGTACAGGTACACACACCTCTGTCTGGTGGCATTACATCAGCCATCATTGCCTTGTGCGTGTACCTGTAGACTGTTGTTGCCCACTGCTGTGGCTCTCTTCCAGCGCCTCCTACTGGTTTCCTGCAGTCCCTCCTCCAACAGCAGAGCCAGGCGTCTCTCCAGACGAGCCTTAAAGCTTCTCTCAGCCACCAGCTGCTCCTGAACTCCCAGCAGGACTGATACCACACAAAGGGGAGTTCGTCAGAGCGAAGCTAACACATACCATCATCCACACAGTACAAAAACATCATACCAAAATGTAAAAAAAAGAGAGTGGGTTTCTTACCTGTACGGACCCAGGTGGAGCGCAGGTGGTGTGAAGTGTTGAGCTCAGGGTAGTGAAAGGCTGTTAACAGAAGTTTGATAAAAACGCTTTACATATTGTCGGTTTAATGTTTACTGTGACGTGTGATGGGTTTGTGTATCGTCTCGTACGTTCAGCGATCTGCAGCGCAGGAAATCCCACGTAGAAGCTGAACTCCACCAGGCTGAGCTTCCTCAGGTGTTCACTGACCTCTGACCCCGGCAGGTAGCCCCGGCCATCCCGCACCGCAAACGTGATGTCGACGGGAACCTTCTGCTCCACCGCTGGCCGGGCCACGCTTATGGTGATGTTCAGCAACTGTGTGAAGAAGTAAAAGAAATTAGAAAAGCGAATGGCTTTAAATGGTGACCACACACGAGGCAGACTCACCTGTACGGTGGCGTTCCCTCCCTCATGTAATCTCTTCCGTGTCTCTGCGTATGCCATGGTGAGCCCTCTCTCCACCCGTTCACTGAAGTTGCAGACTCGGATGTCAACATGAGTGGGAACAAACTGCAGCACAGAGTGGATCTGATACCTGAGGTCAGGTATGGTGTACAGTGGTGAAACTGTGGGAATGGGGCCGAAGCGTGGCGGCGGTCGGCGGAGGGCATTGATGACGGACATGGCAGTGAAGATCAACGGTCCCGACACAACGCGAAAGGCAAAACTGGATGGAGTTCTTAAGAACTGAAAAGGAAACAACCAGGGAAGAGTGGAAAGTTATTAACAATTTTTAAGTTTAGCTTAATATCTAATAAGGATTCAGTAAAGTAAATGAATAAATGAAAGAGAAGGCATTAAAAAAAATAAGAAAAGTATGCATCAGATGGCATATTTTCATGGATTAAATGGTTTTTATTGATTTTTGTGTAATTTAAAAGCTTGGACCTTCTCCTGCTGCCTCTAACAGTCTGTGGACTGATTTCTATATGAAAGACTAAAATCTAAAGGATGTCAGGTTTATACTCCGAGTGTCTCGATGCCTCTGCTCCCAGTAAACAACAAGCTAACATTAGCTTAGAAACAGAGTTCACTATTACAAAGTTAATAAATGACTGGCTCCCAGCACAACGCAAACTCCACATAAGCATGAACCAGAACGTCAGTGACACAGTAACACACAGAGATCAGTCTCTGGTCATTGGTTGGTTGCTTTGGACAAACTAATGAGGAAGAAAATCCAGTGAGAAAGACAAATATTAGCCGATCATTGTCTGTGTGTTTGACTAAATTCTGACCAGTACTGCAGATAGAGTAGTGATTCTTGTGACTGCAGCCGAATGAGCTAAAAACAAACACTTCAGAGCGAGAACATTAGAGGACGGGCTGGGATTAGACTGTTTCATGTGAAGTCTGTGAAGCAGGAGCTTGACTGTGAGGGGAAACCACAGTCAGCATCAGCAGGACGGAATCATGCAGATCTGAGAAGCAGCGATTCTGTTTGTACCTGCAGCTCCACTGAGCGGTTGAAGTCTTTTTTCAGAAGATCTCGGACCTGACTGAAACCAGCAGACGAGCCTTTGGAGCTGACTGCAGGGCACACAAACATGGAAGACATCAGTGATTAGACAGAACATGTGCAGCACCTGGAGGTACGGTCACATGACCTTCTAAGACTCTTACCTACTCTGACCAGGTACATTTCTGGCTTGGTGACATTGCACAGGTATTGTCTGGTGGGTGGTGTCTGGGCCACTCTGGGTGTGGTGACTGGAGGGGCTCTGGTCAGGCTGATGGCTGTGATTTGGGTGGTGGTGATGATGGCGGTGGTTGTTGTCGTGGTAGCCTTAGTAGTGGTTGCGGCCTTGGTGGGAGGAGCCTTTGCTGGCATCTCAGTGACCACTGTGGGCCTCTCTGGCCTCTCAGGGCGGGTGGGGGGTCCCAGCGGTGGAGGGGGAGGCACCCAGCTGGTGGTGTTGGACGGGGGTCGGGAAGGGTGCCTGCTTGGGACCGAGACATAGTCTTTGTGTTTTGGAGCAAGAGCAGTAGGGGTGGAAGGGATCTTGGGGGTGGCTGATGGAGCAGGTGTCTTCTCCTCACCTGTGAGGATAGGTGTAAGGATGAGGGGAGGTGTGGGCTGTCTTGGGGGATGCTTAGGCTCCAATCCTAGAGGAGCAATGGGGCTCGAGGATGGGGTAGAAGGAGGATGGTGGGTGTGTGTTGCTGTAGGTGTAAGGACAGGTTTGGAGTCGTTCTCATTTACCTTTTCCCTCTCCTTCTCCTTCTCCTTCTCCTTCTCCTTCTCCCTCTCCCTCTCCCTCTCCCTCTCCCGAGCCAACAGGTTTGTGTAGTACTCCAGACTGTTCATGTCAGGCAGCAGCAACTCCGTCGGCTCCAGTGGGATCATGTCCTCCAAGTCATAGTCCTCATCCCAGGTGGGGAAGACATCCGGATGGGCAGGCTGAGTGTGAAGGGGAATGTTGGGGGTTGAGGAGGAGGGGGAGAGGGGGAGTTTGGATGACAGTGAGAGGGTGGGGCGAGCAGGAAAGGAGGTGTCATAAGAGACCCAGTCCCCCCCATTGTCCCCATCATAGGGGTGGCTGGGCAGTGGCGTGGCGAGGGCCATCTCGTCACCTTCAGGTACCATGAAGGACAGAGTCTCCAGGTAGTCCCCAGACCCCCAGGCCTCCTCCAGTGAGGGCCCCTGTTCCCAGGGGGGAGGAGGAGTGAGGGTGGGCTGGCTATGTGGGGGAAGTGGTGGAGGTAGACTGGGGGACAGGAGGTCTGGAGGTCTCAGGAGGAGGTGGATCCCCTGAGCACCAGAGTCTGGGTCCTCTGCTGAGCCTGCACCACCACCGTTACTGTGGTATCCAGAGTCTGAGGGGTGGCTGGGAGGTGAGGGTCTAGAAGAGGTGGAGGATGATGATGGTGATGACGGATGTGACGAAGAATCAGTCGTTCTGTTGAATTCCAGCACAACTGTGGGCCAGAAGGACAGAAGTCGTGAATTTAAAAGCTCAACATTATACCTCAAGAGTGAGCATGTGCCATAACCAGATTGTTACCAAACACGAGGGAATAAACCTGAAGGACCCTGAAAGAAACTGATAAACATGAACAAATCTGAAGACCCTGAAGACCCGAATAAACCTGAGGACTGGTAAGAACCTAGGGACCCTGAATAAACCTAAGTAAAAAGTAAGAAAGTAAAAGCAGATCTATGGAGGACGTTTCTATTTTTGTGCAAATCTAACTGAACTTTGTGCTATATTAACATAAAGGTAAAATAGTATCTGTAGATGGGAACACAAACTTTAGTCTGTTTTTGCAGTCAGCTTTAATCTGAACAAAAAGAAGGAAAATAAAAAAATATATCTCTGTTTTCTGGTGCCTGCATTGTAGAGGGTGACTTTGCTCTAAACAGGAAATGACTACAGTCACGGGTTAAAGTGGATTCAGCAGGTGGGGGAACACTAAAAAATCAGTTTTAGTGGCTCAGTGTGAGGAAAAAAATCAAACTCACAATACTTTCTACTGAGAGCTCCAGTAGATTTTCTTAATGTACAGGCTGTGATCAGCTGACCTGCTGCTCTTTGCGGATTTACACACCTGAATTCAACCGGATGTGAGCAGATGTTTCATGAGTTGTTCTGGCTGATTTCCATACACTGACAGTACACTGTTTATGCTGTCTTTATATCGTTTATATCATTGTTTTCTACATTAAATCCATCACAGTTCAGCAAACTAACCTGCTTATCCTGCACTAACTTGCAGAGGATTTTCACGCAGCCTTTAAATAACTCAGTTAAGTCTACCTCAGTTTGTTTAGCAGCATGATTCGCAATATGAAGAAACATAATTTCACATGTACAAACCCAATATCTGATGCAAAAACATGTAAGCTTTCTTTTCTCTCCCTGTGAAATACAGCAGCTCAAAGAAAGGGCTGTAAACCGAAACTAATGAGCCTGTTTTGAAAATGTAAGGAATAGAAATCTCAGATACTTATTTAAAATGTAGGGAGTAAAAGTAAAAAGTCGTCAGAAAAAAAAAAAGTGCAGATACCTAAAATCTGTAAGTAAGTACAGTAATGAAGTATCTGAAATGACAAAGCGTCACAAACACAGATCACCTTAATGAGACTGAGCTGGTTCAGCTTCTTTACAGCATTCATTCACACAGCAGAAACACACTCCTCTTTTTCCTCCCTTGCAGTCTCTTTAAAACCATTTGTCTTTATGACACACACACACACACACACACACACACACACACACACACAGCCTTGACTGGGTCTCTTTCATCTGGTCTTGGCCTTGTTGCCGTGGTGACGCCGTGCTTTGCGGCAGCATCACATGCAGAACAGAGACGAGTCATTGGTATTCAGGAGACGACGCCCTCTCACACACAGACAGACAGACTGATAGATCGATAGATGCAGAAAATATTTATCATTTTTTAATTATAAAGAATCTCTTCAGATTGATGCACTAGGCTAACTGCTAACCTGCATTTATCTGAGCTCCTGCATTTACTGCTCTCAGTTCTGAGAAACATCTCCTGTTATTCCTGACTCTGAGGTGCCCTCACAGAACAGCTGTGGCTGAGGTGTTTTATGGCAGCACATCTGCTTCTGTACTCCATCACATTTATTTTAAAGCGTTGGGTCCTTCTGATTTGCAGTCTAAAATATAAATCTACTCAAATATGACACGATAGTATTATAGATAATCTCCTCAGCAGTAAACCTTATTCTTCTTTCACCTGCTTCCATTAGGGGGTGCCAAAGTGGATCATCTGCCTCCATCTCCCAGCATCCTCCTCTCACACTGACAACTCAGCAGTCCTCCTTCACTACATCTATGAACCTCCTCTGAGGTGTTCCTTTTCTCCTCCATCTTCATCCTCTGCCCATGCTTAGACCATCTCAGGCTTCCCACTTCACTTTGTTTATTTACAGTTTTTTTATTCACTAAGCGTTCATTATGTGCTTGCTGAGCTCTCACATCTGTTTTATTTCACATCTGCGTAGCTCTGACGTCTCATGGCACAGGTGCTCTATAGAAGAGCAGGTGGAGAATAAAAAAATTAGCCCAGGGAATTGAGCTACATTTCATTGTGGATGTATGACCATGTGATGTTTGTGGTTTTTCTTTCAGTGCACTGAAACAAGTTTCTACGTCTTCATCAGGTTGGACAAACTCTTCTTCAGTCTGAATTAAAACACAGCCATGGGTTGAAATCTGACATCTATAATGCAACATGTGATCCACAGAGGGCGCTATAATAAACACACACTCCCCGAATCTGTCATCTCTAACACAAGTCCTGAAATGTTGAGTGACGTTTCAGGACTAAAAGTGACATCACACCAACACAGTCACAACCAGCTGACCTCTGAGAGCTGTTTGTGATGAAGCAGCTTCCTGCTGCCTACATCTGATCAGCTGATGTCAGTGTAAACCTCCACAGTCTGACATCAGCAGGTCATGTGACTCTGTGTGTGCGTGAGTCAGTAATGTGGGAGGATGACAATATGGAGCTAAAATGAGACTCAGAAGAAGATTCCTGCACTGCAGTCCTTTTGAGGAAGTCCATGTTCATTTCCTGCTGTGTACAGATGGCTCAGAGGTCAGAGGTCAACATTAACAGCTAACAGCACCTAGCAAGGTTACCTGCAGCAGGTGAACTTGAGGTCACCATGGAAACCAATGTGCCAGCCACCAGCAGGACCACACCTAGTGTTTGTCTGCAGGCCGAGGTTCTGCGTTCCATCCTGGTCCTGGTGCTGGAGCTGGGGCCTGGCGAGGTCACAGCGTCCATCGTCCTCAAAGGACCGGCGGTGCAGTCCCGCTACAAAGAGCCGAAGGCCCCTCAGGAGGACCTGAGTAGCATAGAACAGCAGTCAGAAAATGTGTGTCCTGCAGGGTTCTCACCGAGCACAGGAGAACATTCTCCTGCTGGATGATGACATCATCAAACGGATCAGGAAAGATTCAGCTAAAACTCTTTTTTACCTTCGTCGTTAGTTACTTTAAAAATAAAGGCTGTAAAGTTGTGTGGAGTAGTGTGTGACCCTCTGATGGGAAGGTTCATAGTTGAAACAATTCATCAAAGTTTGAAATAACAAATCTAACTATCAGCCTGACGCATTAGCTTTTGTCTCCGAACTAAAGTCCCAGCAAGTTCTGATACCCTTCCATCCACCCTGACCTCCTCCCTGCTCCAACTCAGACTACAGCTGGCCTGCTGTGGATGTTTAGGTCTGATGCTGAAACCAGTGTTTATGGACTGACGCTGTCAGATAGGAGAGAGACCAATATTCTCGATGCACACCGTCTGTGAGAGCTTTGCTGCAAAGGTAACAGTGATGAAAGAAAAACACTAAAGTGCCTCATTACAGTCCAGCAAGAAGCTGAGAAGACTCTGAAGCAGTGAAAAAGTAGGAACCCAGGGACAGGCGGTGCTGCAGAAGCATTCATTGTGAAGCAGACGTGCTGCTTTGAAAACAGACAAAGACTTGCAGCAAAGACTCAAAAGACTCCAAGTAGATGCACGTATGTCATAAACAAACTCCTACATCACCTCATTCTTGAGTTATTACATTTACAAACTTGGGTGTCCTCGCTGCCCCCCAGTGCCATGACGACATACCCCATCGGACTTTTACGGTTCAGGGGTAAAATCCCCCAAAATCCTCTGCTTAAAGGATCTGAAGGTTTTTACGTGCTGTAGACCCTGCAGCAAACATTTTACTGTGACTGTGCCCTCTAGTGGTGGAAGTGCTTGGTGTCCTGATGTCTTATTTTGGAGGACAGCATGAAAACGTCTAAAGCCACCCCATGACAAACCCACGACCTAAAGACTGTGGAACATGCTCATTCATTTGGTTTTAGGGTGTTCTTGGTGCTGAAGGCTGCAGGGAGGAGGTCGGGTGGATGGACGGGACAACAAAGACACAGAATGATGTTAGTCTAATATTTCAAACTGTACTCGTAAAGAATTAGGTACCTTAAACTGGGGCTGTTCAGCCTGGATAAAACCCCTCTGAAACTGAAAAACGGAGCGCTAAAAATGCTCTGATGTTGCTTCGAGAGCAGCTCAGGTCTGAATGAAGATCACAGCTGACATTTCTGACAGCATGCAGAGCGGGGTCAGGATCAGGGCTGCCACACCATCAGAAGGTCAGTTAAACATGTACCTGCTGCTGGACCCTCACACCCGAATCACCTGATTTCAGCAGCTTCACATCCTTCATTCTGGAAGGGTGGAGGACATAAACCCAGAACATCTAAGCTTAGGCTACAGTCTAACTCTGAACCTGAAACACTTTCTCTGTGAAGATGATGAAGACCTGCTCCAACCTGCGGGTGGAGCATCTGGACCACTGACTTATTACTTCATTGTCCAGGTTTGTGATGAAGGCTAGCGGGGCTTTAATCTGCACATATTTCTGATCTCGTCTCAACTTTAACATCAGCACTTCCCTGTGAGTCAGCTCATCCTAACCAGGCTGAGCTGAGGACAGCTCTCAGGTAATATTAATAAAGAGATTACACGCAGTGTCACGTGATCCCTGCTGCTCCTCACAGCCCCTCAGTACCGAGCAAAAAGGGAGCTCTGCTTTCTCTGCAGAGCACGATTACAAATGGGTCACTGTCCCAGACCCCGGAGCCTACGAGGGTGTGCGGCTGAAGCAGGAGGCTTCAGGCTCGCCTCCACCTGCGCCTCCACCTGCGGGGATTTTTCTGTTTGCGCAAAACATGAAAATGTCGGTTTGAAGGATTTCACGTGTTTGCAAAAAGAACCTTCAAAAATGATCAATCAGTCAATAAATCAACCATCGATCAATAAGTGAAACCACAAAGACGTGACGGTGAATATTTAAAAGGTATCCAGCTGTTTGTCTGACCGGCTTTCACAACTGTGCCTAATAAAGTGACAGGTTGGTATATTCTCTGTCAGTCCGGGTTTTTGTGCTCTGCTCGGCTCCGTTTCCAGAACACTCACTCCTCTGCCGGTCTGGCCCGGCTCGGCCTCCTCTCAGATTGACCCCATTATCGGACAGATGCTAACAGCCTCCACCCGCCCGCCGAGTCCGCGAGGTGGAGGCTGCATCCGCCCCGCATGTTCGTGTCCGGGGCTGATTAGCCCCCCTCCCCCTTCCCCCGGCACGCTCCGGTCCGGTCCGGCACGGCCCAGTTTACCGTGAGGACGACGCTGCCTCCGGTGCACGGCTGAAGGAGCCTCGCTTCTTATAGCGGCCGCGGACACACAGAGCCGCAGACCCGGGATCACATTCAGACTGCAAGCCGGGCCGGGCCGAGCCGAGCCGGGCTATTCTCACTGAGTCTCTGCCACGGCGGAGACCTACCTGCCATCCTGGAGATGCGGTTCGGGCGCGTCACGCCTCTCCAAGCCGCGCAGCGCGCTCCCTGCGTGGGGAAGAAAAAGGAGGCGGAGAGTCCCCGCAGAATCACACCTCCTCCTCTTCTCCTCCTCGGAAACAGCAGCAATCAGCCTCCACCGCCCGGTGGTGTCGGTGCTGTCCGAACCCGTCACATTCACAGCGCGTCCGGTCCCGGTACCAGTCCAGCCGGCCCCTCCCAGCATCATCTGACCCGACCTGCAAGTCAAAGCGCTTCTTCTCACACACGGACCGTTATTTGAACCCGCACCGGCACCGGCACAGGGCCAGGACAGCCGGATCTGACCATGAAAATGAAACAGCAGAGAACTGCTCAGCTTTTATTTTATGAAGCCAACAAAAACACACACACACACACTCTCTCTCTCTCTCTCTCTCGCTCTCTCTCTCTCGCACGCACGCACACACTCTCTCTCGCTCTCTCTCTCGCACGCACGCACACACACTCTCTCTCTCTCGCGCGCGCGCACACACACACACACACACGCACAGACTCTGCTCATGTTTTTATGCTTCATGCAGACCTGGGCCACGGGCACAGCGGTGCACTGGTTAGCAGGAAGGTTGTGGGTTTGAATCCCGTGGTCAGTTGGGCTCTGCGTGTGTGTTTGGTAACAGCTGACTTAATTCAGGTGTGTGAATGTGAGTAATAAAGTGCTCTGATTGGTCAGTTAGACTGGAAAAGATTAAGATACCAACCAGTTTATTTGAATGCTGCTGTTTCTGTTGAAGGTCACCCTCCGTATTTTCACCTTAAAGATGAACTGAGCACTCCTACAGACAACAGCTGATACTCGACAACAGTGCAGCCATAATAGAGGAAGCCTGCTCTGAACGGACCGATGTCACGGGCGTTCCTGTCTGTGCTGAAGTTTGAGTCTGCAGTAACGTTTCATATTTAGTTCAGTTAACGATCGCGGCTGTTTCTTTGGGTCTGTCAGGGGTCACCAGGATTCTGTAATCACATGACTCAATTTTCAAACGGTTGGTTTAAGGAAATTATGGATGAGGACACCAAATAAAAAGAAAGGTAGACTCAGAGTCTCTGACACCAGATCGTCCTGCAGCTGAGAGAGCCACAGAGCTCAAACTAAAGACATTAATAAAAGGCTCCAGTAAGAATCACTCCATTTTATTTACAGCACCAAATTAACAACAGTGACCTCAAGGTGCTTTATATTGCCTAAAGCCCATACAAAAATAGAAATACAGGTAGAATAAATTTCCCCCACACACATACACACAGAGAAGCAGAAAATAATAGAAGTGGTTAACATGCTCAGTGATAAGGCACCCAGCCTGGTCCAGTCAACATAATCGGGTCACATTTGACTTCCTAACACCGGCACCTGCCTCTCCACCTCCTCCCGGGAGACGAAGCGAGGGCGACGGCGGACTTTCCTCTTGGTGTTGTGCTTGTGGTTCCTCTGGTACATGTCTGCAGAGAGAGAGAGAACATGCTTAGACACCATCAGGAAGCGGTGACAGAGGAACACACTGGGACCTGAAGCCTAAAGGCTGGGATGTGTCTATGTGCTGAATCAGGGCATGCCATTGTGTCTGGGACATTCCCAAAACTTCATTCTGGGATTCTGGAAGTTTCTGTTGGAATCGTCACCTCTGACTTTCCTGCCCTGACTGTGGCACTCACTGTGGAACTGTGAGTCCCCACATGGAGGGATGCTGGACTTGTTCTGGGCCTAACCTGACCACTTCATTAACTCACAGTTACATCTGGGATGCAGGTGACAGGAAGTAGTACCTTTGAAGCTGATGATGTACTCTCTGTAGCCTTTCACCACTCTGACTTCAGCTCTTCTGTCAGACAGGTACTTCTTCTCCAGAGTGCAGGATGTCTCCGATGTGGAGCGCATCTTCTCATCCTGAAGGACGTACGAGACAGACATCAGACCTGGAGCAAAATAAACATTTTCTGTATTCCTCTACAGCTCGCTCCCACACAGTGATCCTAAAGGTGCTCCAACTCACCCACTCTCCATACTCCACCCAGTTCCCACGGTCCCCCTTGTAGTACCACAGCCATTTGGTGGTCAGTGTGTAATATAACGGCTTCTTCACGGAGGAAACTGTGGAGAGACGGCGAACAGGCTGCATCCCTCGAGTCATCGTGATGAAGTCGATGGTCTGAACACCAGCGCTGAAAAACATGGCAGCTGTGAGTGGCTGATGCATGAAAAACATCAACAACTTGCACTCATTGTGACCTCTGACCTCTCAGTCCTGGACGGGTCGCAGAAGTCTCGCTCAATGTCCTCCATGTTCTGCAGCTCCGTCCAGGTGCTGCCATCTAGAACCTCCCACTTATACGGCAGGTGGAAGTGCACCTGCAGGCACGAGTCTGCAGAGAGACCGAAAGACTGAGGCGAGGCCAATGAGCACGAACACGCCCACAGAAAACTCAGCGCAACCAGCAGGAAATCATAAAAATCACACAATCATACAATCACAAAATAACAAAAATGATATTAATAATAAAATATTAATAATTAAAAACAATTCACACAATCAAACAGGACTGTACAGATGAAAAATAAAGGAAATCAAAACAATGAGCACAAAATAATACATTTTTCCCCCACTGGCAGATTTGACAGAAAACGTTATCTAGGAAGACAAATTTGAATAAATTATAATTCATAAACTTCAACTCTTTTGAACATGATGTCATGTATATACATTAAATATTTGCACTGAAGAAGATTTAATATGAGAAAATTTGATATTTTAAACTGTATGTTTCCAGAGAAACCAATCAGATGCCAGCAAGGCACGAAAAATATTTTAGGTTTTAGTGAGAAAACAAATAAATCTTTATTTATAAAGAGTGAGTCAGCTTCATGTTGGAGTCTGTACTTCTACCCTGTGCTGCCACCTACTGGATGCACACGACTAAGTGCACAGCGGGAGGCTGAAAGAGACTTCCTGTGTGCCGTTTCCTCTCAGCCAATCAGATCCTCGCATGAAGAAAGTAGGAGAACTCACCCTGAAACTTGCAGCTGTTCCTGAAGAAGTGCAGGCAGATCTCCAGAGGGTGAGACGGCTCAGGAACAATGTCTGAAACATAAAGAGCCGAAGTCAGGGTACAGAGCGCCTCCTTGTGTTCACGTCAGTAACATGTAATCAGGTAATAACACACACATAGACACTGAACGCCATGTATGAAATCTGAATCTTGTGTCATGTTTATGGATAACCTCCTCATATTTGTGTAGCATTATCAGATTATCACACTGAAACACCAGCTTTGTAACATTATTTATATTTTTGGTAATTATGACTTCAGTGAGGAGACATTGTTGTGTCTGTGAGGCAGTATTCGCTTGTATAAAAGGCTTTTTTTCTTCCATATTTATGGAATTATTTTCTCCTCTTTATGGAGCAGATTTCTAATACTGATCTGACTTTTCCTGATCTGCAGGTTTCCTCCTCTATCCTCACAGTGATTAGACGGTCAAGGTTCTCAGGATCAGCAGGTTCTGTTTCAGGCTTCAGTCTCACCCATGGAGGTGGTGGAGGTGGAGGTGGAGGCCGCTCTGAGCTGGTGGATGTTGCTGTAGATGGAAGGCAGGTTGTGGATGATGTCACAGCTCAGTCCTCTCTCCTCCAGCATGTGGCGGCCGCGCTCGTCAACGGCATGCAACCGTTTGCACTTTTTTCCAAAGATGCAGTCGCCCTGCACGAAGTGCTGGCACAGGTGCACTTTGGTGCAGTTGCCCTGGAAACTACAGCAGCCGTGAGGCCCCGAGCCTTTGTTATAGTGCACACACACCTGAGCGAGCGAGCGAGCGAGAGCGAGAGCGAGAGAGAGAGAGAGAGAAAACATACAGAGCCTTCATGATTGGGTTAGAGAGAGTGTGTGTGATTTTTTTTAAGGATCCAGCTGTCAATCACATTTTTACTGAAAGTCCCTTAAAAGCAGTGTTTGTCACAAACGTCACAAATGTTGAAGTGATGAAGTAAATGCAGACTCGGCTAAATAGGATACATAAATGATTAGAGTAAGGGTTGTCAAACTTACAGCCCGTGAGATACATTCATATGCCAGTCACAGCTGGACTGGCCATCGGGCATTCCATTTGCCCGATGGGTGGATGGTGATTTCTCGCTTTTAATGGGCCGATGTTTGTTTTGGGTTGTTTGTTTGTTTTGTAACGGTATAAACAATGGAAGGTGGTGGATTGGCCAATTAGTCATGATCTACTCTGGGCTGGACCAATTACAATACATCCGTATTGCGGTGAAAAGGAACGCGATTTGTCCCGTACTTCAGCTAGAATGAAAAAAGAGACAACGCTGGAGTTATACTGTGTCTTTACGCTGTCAGCTGCCTCTTCTTCTCTCATTCTCTCCCCTTCCCTCTCATGTTGCTACTTCAACCATGAAACTGATCAATGATCAGCTGATTGGCTTTTCTGTCTCAAGTCTCATCTCTCTTTGGCCCACCTGTTTGGCCCACTTTGCACCAGAAAGAGGAAACCACCAGATGTTGCGCTAAACAACAGCAGCACGTTTAAGCTTGATCAGCTGTTGTTAGAATTTATTTAATATTAATTTCTAGTATCAGCTGATGTTTGTTGGAGCCACAGCTGTAACAGCTGCTGGTTTGGATATGTGGTGAAGATGAAACCAGGAGATGTCCTTACTGAATCATCAGAGTTGAACAGGTGGTGGAGAAACAGGTTTACCTTTTAGGTGACAGGAATGATTTGAAGGGAAGTTATGAACTGTTTCTGAGAGGCAAATAACACCAGGATCTTGTTCTACATAGCTGACAGCTGGTAACTGTGCAGGGGCGGGTCTAGCAAAGTTTTGCCAGGGGGCCAGGTAGGGCATTAACAGGGAAAGGCGGGTCAGTACGCGGGAGTCGGGTCTTCAGCCCTGCTGAGAACACTGACAAAAGTTTCACTGGTCCAACCCACTTAAAAGTTCAAAGTTCGCTTTATGTGGCCCGCTGTGTAAAATGACCCCCCTGCATTAGTTTCTGGTTACCTGAGGATCCTCGGTCATGTCCAACTTTCGATTTTCATTTTTGATTTTTGATTTTTGTTTTTTTTTGTTTTACTTTCAGTTTCAGTTTCTTCTTCTGTGGATGTTACGTGACTAAAGAAGCTCTGTGTCCTCATGTGAGGCAAACAAATGGTGAGTCTGTTGCCATGGTGATCTCATACATGCTGCGTCTCATCACTTTCTTATTCACTTTTTTTTTTCCTTCAGGAGCGTCCCACGAATCTGTGCACAGTTGCGTTTCTTGTGTAAAGGGCAGAGTCGTTTCATCTGCTAACACTGAGCACGTCTCCTGAGGAACAGCCTGTGACGTCAGGTGAGTGAGGTGTGGGCGTTACCTCGGGCAGCAGCGCCGGGTCGTTGAGCAGCAGCAGCAGGAAGAGCTCGTCCTCGTTTAGCTGCTGCAGCGAGCACTCTTTCAGCAGCCTGGAGTTATGATCAGACCGCAGGTCGTGGGATGATCGACATGGTTTCCTGTGAGGAGGTACATTTACCATCAGCTCCTCTCACCCCGCTGTCAATACCAGTCAATCAACCAATCAGTCCATCAGTCAATCAATCAGTCAGACAGATAGATAGATAATGGATCAGTGGTGCATGCTGTAGCAGGTGAGTGTTTTCAGGATTGAAGCTGGTTTGTGATGATCGTCTGCAGAATCAGTTAGCATGGTGATGCAAACACGTAGGAAGTGAAACTTCCTAGTGGCAAGTGCTACCCTAAAAGAATCCCTTGCCAACCCCAAGTGCCACCCCAGTTTTGCATATGACAGTGTTGTTTATTAAAATAAGATAGCATTAACAGTTTGAGCGTAGTTACAGTGAATATAAATGCTAAAACTGAATATATTGCATAGTGTTCCCCCCTCCACCATTAACAAATGGTTCAGCCCATAGCGGGACCGGCTTTTTTCTTGTTTTCAGTAGCAAGCGATGGTTATGATTGTGCCAGAGCACATTTTGAACAACACCATGGGAATTTCGCTTTTTACACAGGTGGTTGGATGTTACACTGTGGAAATGGAAGGCACAGACCTATGCCCTGATTAGGAACCTACTCAGTCCGTTCAAGCCAGGGGATCGTTCTTATGCTGAGTTGGTGGGATTATTGAACAATCATTTTCACCCTAAGCCGAGTGAAACTGTGCAGCGGTGGAAGTTTAACACACGGAATAGAAGGCCGGAGGAAAGTGTGGGCGATTATGTAGCGGAGCTAAGGAAGCTCGCACAGGACTAACTTTGGAGACTCCCTGACGGTGATGCTGCGGGATCGTTTAATATGTGGAATAAGCGACGACAGAATACAGCGCAGATTGTTAGCAGAGGATTTGCTAACATTTGAAAAGGCGCTGAAGTTTGCTCAAGCAATGGAGGCTGCTAACAGAGACATTGTGGATTTGAAGAGCATGATGGAACAGTCGCGATTCACTAAAGGATTAGGAGCGGTGAACAAGATGGAGGACGGCGGCTCGACGTCACAACAGGTTGTCAGGAAGTGCTACAGATGTGGAGGGCTAAATCATGTGGCCAAGGACTGCAGGTTTGTTTCAGAAAAATGCCACAACTGTGGAAAGGTGGAACACATAAAAAGGGTCTGCCGAATGAAAATGGAACAAAAAGGAGGGCATGGCAGACAAGGTAAACAAGCCCATTTCTTGGAAGAGGAGAATGTGGAGAGTGAGGAAGAAGGAGCTGAAATGCACCACATAAAGGCAAGTGTGACTATGTATAATGTGCATGAGGAGATTAGCATCCCAAGGGAAGAACCCATCAGACAGGTAAATGGACAGAATGTGACATTTGAAGTAGACACAGGCTGTGGTTACACTATCATGTCGAAGGCGTCATTTAAAAAAACTTTTTGAAGGCAGTAATGCGCCCAAAGTAAGCAAGTGTGGAATCAAACTGAGAACGTATGGAGGCCACAAGGTACCCGTGTGGGGAGCAGCCCAAGTGCAGGTGGAATTCAGAGACAG